CACACAGTATTCCAAATGAGGTCTCACCTCATTAGAAAGGTGGAATGCTGTTTAGGAAGGCACTGTAAATCTCATTAGTGAGGTCAGCAAAAGCATATCTTCAGGATTTACAAATTTGATAGCTGTCATTGTTGAGAGGGCTCACCACATTAGCCTGATGGGCAGGGAACCCATCACATAGGACAGCTCAGATTTTGTATATGTAATGTACAGAGTGCTCCCCCCCCCCGGTGGGGGGAGGGGGATCTCAGAATGAATAATGATAAAAATGTCTCCAAAAAGTGCCCTGGCAGTGAAAATACTGAACTAGCTGAAGACAGATTAATCCTCAGCTTCCTAGTATCTTACAACCCACACTATTTCGCTGGCACCAAAGCACCGAGTTCCCCGTAGCAGCGCCAAGGCAATATATCTTCCCTTTGGCTTGATGACAATGTCCTGACATAATTTTGTATCCGAGGGAGGCCCTGGGAACAGCAGCCTTTGTGAACGTTTGAAAAGAAAATATATGTTTAATCTGCATTATGCACCCTTATAGCTGCTCCCTCGTTCATGAATAGCTATGGCCATTTTTGCAGTCATACCAGCATCTCCTCAAAATGATTCCTAATGTCCCAGAAATAGGTGACGATTAGATAAAACTTGATGTTTGCACATTTGATTGCATTCAGCTTCTGGGCAGGTTTGTGAATGGCACAACTAATTTCATGGAAAGAAAAGTGAAAGTGCACCCGATGAATCCTCTCTGTATGCAACATCTACACAAGAATAGAATAATCTTGTATCTGCAGGATATTTAAGCACCAAATTAAATCACCGTATCACACAATTTCATGCCTTGGCCTCCCAAGGCTTAAAAATTCAACCATACTTTCAAAGCTTTATTTACATCATTCGGCTTGCTTTGCAACAGCAGAACCTACATAATTATGGGATCTAAGGATGACTGAATACTTTAAACTCATTGCTGCAAAATGTTTTCAAGACGTTTTGCAGTTCCGAATGGTTGTCTCCCCAGCAATAATAAGGGTTGGGCTGCAGGTAGGTTCTGTAGGGTGGATCGTTCTACGAAATACAATCGTGGCCTGAAGAAAGTCAGCATAAAAACAGTGCTGCAAAATGTTGACGGAATATTAGGCGGCAGGACAGGTGGAAGAGAAGTACGGGGACTGAACAGGCGTGGAGACCGGACGAACAGCTGCATGTTTCTTATTCACCTTCAAACATCTTCTTCCGGCCCTCCATCCCAGACTTCTCCTCAATGTTCTTCCTCCAGTCACCCACATCACGCAGATCCTTCTCCTGTGAGGGGGAAGAAGAGGAACATTTGAGCTTGTACCACAGGTACACTCACATTTGTTTGGCTATCTGCAGGGCTTTTTTTTTTGTAGAAAAAGGCCAGCAGGAACTCATTAGCATAATAGGCCACACCCAACAGCAGAAACTCATTAGCATATTAGGCCACACCCCTGACAGCACAGGTTGTTAGCATATGAGGCCATACCCCCATGTTACCAGAAGTGTGGCCATCCAGCCACACCCACCTTTTGCTTCTTATTCTGTTTATCCTGTTTTTTGAGGATCGCGAAACCACGGGGAAAATCGGGCGAAGCCGCAGGTCAAAATGCGGCTGCACGGCTTCGCGTGGGAAATTGATCAATAGAAGTGGGGCAAAGGGAGGTGCGACCGCGGCACAGCTCTTGCGTGAAAGCTGTTTTAGTCTTACTTTAGCAGTGGTCTAAGGATTAAATAAAACAATAAATTGATTTGGAAGCCCTGTCGAGTCCTGTATTTATCCACAGATGATATACATTATGCCTAGTAGAACTGGTGATATACAATATGCCTAGTAGAACCTAGTTCCCTAATATCCCTAATATCTGACAATTAGCATGGAACTGACTTTTATAGGAAGCATCCTAGATTTGCGTGGTTCGATGAGGCTGTGGGCTATGCCGTGGAGGGCCACCCAAGACGGACAGGCCACAGCAGAGAACTCCGACCAAGTGTGGTCCACTGGAGAAGGAAATGGCAACCCACTCCAGTATCTTTGCCAAGAAAACCCCATGGACAGTATCAAAAGGCTAAAAGATATGATGCCGGAAGATGAGACCCTCAGGTCGGAAGGTGTCCAATATGCTACTGGGGAAGAGCAGAGGGCAAGTACAAGTAACCCCAGAAAGAGTGAAGCGGCTGGGTCGCGAAGAGTCAGACTCGACTGCGACTGAACAACAACAATCCTAGATTTTCTTTGAATGGGCTTCTTGAGGCAATTACTAGCTGAAGCAAAAAGGAAGAATTTGAGGCTAGCCAATCGCGACAGAGGGAAATGGAAAGGAATGTTTGCAGTTGGGCCAACTGAGCACTGAGTGTAAACATACCAGACGACAGATACCAGACCGTAAGCACTGTATGGCCACATTATTGCTCTCTCAAAACAGGCAAGATCTTTGCTAAACGATGAGCTGTTGAAGTTGATTGACGTGTACTGCAAATTCCTGGAATATGCTTCTTGTTGACTTGCCAAGTACCTTTTCAGTGTCTTCTTTCTTGACCTGCTTCAGGTTGGCTCTCAGATCCATGCAGACTTTGTGCTTGGAGCCCAGAAGAGCCCGCAGCATAGCATCAGCTGACATGCGGACTCTCTTCAGGGGTGGCCTCTTGAACTTACCCCTCAGGTCAAACAGTTTCTGGCCCAAATCTTCAAGCTACAGAGAGAGAGATGTGAGGAAATAAACGGTAAGAGAGGGCCTTACAAGAATGGGAAAGGTGGCAGAAACTAGATGGGGGTATGTGTGTGTGTGTAGGCAGGTTGTTAAACCCAACTGGTTTATAATAGAGGATGAAATATAGGACCAGGGCTCTTTTTGTAGAAAAAGCCCAGCAGGAACTCATTAGCATAATAGGCCAAACCCCACAGCAGAAACTCATTAGCATATTAGGCCACACCCCTGACAGCACAGCTCATTAGCGTATTAGACCATACCCCCATGTTACCAGAAGTGTGCTCATTCAGCCACACCCACCTTTTGCTTCTTATTCTGTTTACCTTGTTTGTTGTCCAAACCCAGGGCTTTTTTTGTAGCAGGAATTCCTTTGCATGTTAGGCCACACCCTCCAATGTAGCCAGTCCTAATGAATTTCGTTTGTTGGGTGTGGCCTATTATGCTAATGAGTTCCTGCTGGGCGTGGCCAACTTGGGAGCCAGCCGGAACTCCGTTCCTGTGCGTTCCTGCCCAAAAATAGCCCTGTATGGGACTATGGACTCTAACCCTGGACTCTCACTTTGTTCTACTGAGCATTACAGACCACTTGGAACTATTTCTGGCATGCTTTCCTCCACCTTTTAATTTTTTACATTGCCTCTACGTACTGAAGCTGCTATGCAACAGACACCTAATATTTGGGGAGGGGTAGTGGTTTTCAGCCTTCTAGTGTTCTGTGTGCTTTCTTTATTTCCCCCTGATGGCCATATACTTTGCAAACCAAGTCTGTGTAATCTGAGCGAAAAGCTTTAGCTTCACTCGGTTTCTCAGGCCCAATCTGCATCTGCCGTGTGACACTGCTTCTTTCAGCTGGGGCACCCGCTTCTGTTGCCTCCCCTATGGCTCAGTATAGAAGCTTGCCATCTGCATCATGTTTAGGGAGAGCGCACGGGGGGAGCGGTCTCCTGGGGGCCCTGCAGCTCTGCTACGGTGTGGGGAGGAAACAGCACCCGTGACCCCCCGCAGAAAATAAAGGGGGGATGACCTGGTGGAGGGGGAGGCGAGGAGGGCAGGAAAGATGGAACAAGCTGGGTAAAAGACACAAAACACCTGGCGGATGCCAGACAAGGCATTCTGGGGACTGCCCCAGAAAATAATAAATGGTTCAGGGTAGTGTCAGCTATGCTGCCATGAAGGTTGGGGAGGTTGGTCTGTGTCTGGGTAATTGCTATTGCTTTCCTTTCGGGTTAATTGCTACTGCATTCCTTTCTGTGCTGTCTCTGCTTTGCGCTGAAACGCTTATCTATACAGATGTGCAGGAGGGTGTTGTGGTGTCTGGGATTGCCCTAGGTGCCGTGGGAGAGTGTTCATTCTCAGCTTCAGCTACCTAACGGTCTCTAAGCCTTCACCCGCGCGTGGGAGAGTGTCTTATTGGGCAGTGCTGTGGAGGGGGGGTATACGAATACCCTATACCCTATTATGCCCATGGGGCTGCCGCCATTCTTAACAGTGCCTATGTTACAGCATCTATAGCTCTGCAATAAAAGTATAACCGTTCCTGAACGCGTGTACTTCGTTGTTGGCTGTGGGTTCTGACAGGTAGGCGTGCTTCCAACCCCCCCCCCTCTGAAAAATAATATGATTGCAGGAAAATGTCCCCTGGCTGCTTTTAAACACAGACAACTCGATTTTCAGCTAACTTGTTTTCTTTGTGACAATTTGAGTATCTCCTTAGAAAATATATTGGGAGAGGATTCGGCTCCAGTTGTCCACTTATTGCTCACAGCAGCTCGGAGGGCAGGAAGGAGCAATTAAACCACCTTCAAACCGAATCCACATAACGTGATGAGACACCGTAGTGACCTCAGCGTCACCACTAAATGGCAATAAAATGATGCAGACAGCTGATGCTGAGACGAATCAATACGAGAGGAGATGCAGAATGAGATGCAGACAGAAATTTGTTAGACAATGTGGGGTCGGTGGCACAACGGCAGGAAAGACCAATGCAAATTGGACCTTAGTTGTACATTTTAATGGTGGGGTTTTGGAGGGCCTTTTGTCCTATTGTAAGTTGCCTTGGGCTATGTAGGAAAGGCAGGATAAAACTATGTTAAATAGAACACCATACTTATCCCTCTACGGACTACTTTTGTGCATTATTTTAGATGCATATCTAAGGTTGGGTTTTTGTTTGTTTTTTTTACAAAAAGAGTATACTAACTGTCTAGAGAAATACTTCCCAAACTTTTTGTGGAATATTGCCTTTGTTTGGGACCTTTGTGTTGGACCCATTATCGGGTTTCCTATCTCAACTTCTTGTCACCTACCTGCAGTACCAGTGTGCTGACCCCTATACATAAACTGGGAGGGTCCAACCAGGGTTCCCTCTAAGCTGAGTTAGTGTGAGCCAGCTCACAGTTTTTTAGCCTCCGGCTCACACATTTTTGTCTTAACTCAGGAAGAAGGGCTCCAGAGCAAACTAATTTATGCAGTAGCCAAATCACCTGCTCACAACTTTAATGTCAGTCGCTCACCAAGTAGAATTTTTGCTCACAGGACTCCATACCTTAGAGGGAACATACCTTAGAGGGACTCCCAACCCGTATTTGGAAACCAACACTGTGGGATAACTAAACTCAGAAACTTCCAACATATGCTGCAGATGCTCAGTTTGGCACAGTGTTGGGTGCCTGAGCAAATATTACCTCCTTGGTAGTTTTCTGTAGTTTCATCTCTGTGTCATATCTTTCCTCATCCACTTCCTCTATCTTAGTATGAAGCTTTTTGCACAGTTCCTGTTGAGAAACGAGAAGAGATTATAAAAGAGGGTTGCTCAAGCCATCCAGCATTTCCTACCCAATCTTTGTAGCCCACTGTAGAGAAACCCGAATCTGACGTGGGGGTGTATAGTTTCATAAATCTGCACATTGTATTTTTGGTACAGCTGATGTTTGGAAATCTAAGAGTCTAAATGTCTCTTAGAACCCCATTGTAAGCCTTCCTTCTGACAAACTTAAATGATGACCTATCCATATCCTGGAGATAAGCTGGTTCCAAGTTGCAGCAGCATCATGCTAAGACAGTGAGGAATTTCAGACAGGCGATATATTCCGGTTCAGGAACGGTTCCCAAATGGTTTCTGGTCTGACATTTCAGACAGAACCGTTTTAGAACCGGTTCCCTACCGGAATATATTTGTACTTTCACACACAAACGCTTCTGTCCCATTCAGGAAACGGGGCTGAACCATTTTACCTGTAAACCACTTCCAAGTAGTCTTCAGTTTCTTCTCCCGGATCCGAAACACTTTTTCCCCGCTGTTTTTTACCCGCGTGGGCGATCTCTGGCTTTTTTTAAAAATTCGCTTTAGAGCGCTATAGCGCTATAACACAAGAGCAAAAACAGCATTATAGCAACCCCATTGGAATGCCTGGAGTGTTGTGTTATAGCGCTATAGCTCTATAAAGTGACCATTTTTTTAAAAGCCGGAGATCGCCCGCCGCGAGCAAAAAAGGCAGGAAAAAGTGGGAAAAAGCAGTGCAGTCTGAAATGGCAAACCGCTTCAGATCCAGCCGTTTACCGGTAGGGGAAAACCATGTGTGAAATGGCAGACCTATACCAGCTTACTCCACGTTGGATCAAAAATGGCTTCAAACTGGCTTAAAAAGGGCACTGTGAAATTCCTCCGTGTTACTCCTTCCAGCATAAACAGGATAAGCATTGGGTGTGTTAGGGGTGGTGCAGGGTTTAGCCGGTATCATAAGCCTCCTTAGCCACTCTCATGACACCAGCACTGGCCCAACATTACACCAGCAACTGCCCTTATATTTCTGTTCAAGTCCCATACAAGTCCCACATTGCTCCTCAGCACCTCCCCCCCTCTCCCCAAGACCCACTCCAGGATACTAAGGAGTAATCCTAAGCAAGAAGTCCAATTATATCGAACAGAGCTTAGTCCCAGGATAGTGGGAGGAAATAATCTATTACCTAAACTGAGCATAGTTACAATATGGAATTTGCCAGACCAGCACAACTTCTCATGTGCGATTTCTCTAAGCAATACTATAGAGTCTGTCAAAGAAAAGATCTACACAGTGGTCTGTCCTGCATAGAGGCAGGTAAAATAAATCCAGGTATGTCTAACCAGCTTCTGAGCGAAAAAGTGTTGCTTCTGCTCCTCGTTAACGAGCAGGAAAGAAGATGTTACCACAAGCATGCTCTGTGGAGCAGATCGTTCCGGATGGGCTATATGGATTCAGGCCAGAGTACTGAACAAAATTGTGTGCTCGGACTGGCATCAAATGTTTCTGCTCTTGAGAACATAAGAGAACATAAGAGAAGCCAGTGCTGGATCAGGCCAATGGCCCATCCAGTCCAACACTCTGTCACACGGTGGCCAAAAATACCAGGTGCCATCAGGAGGTCCACCAGTGGGGCTGGGACACTAGAAGTCCTCCCACTGATGCCCCCCAATCACCAAGAATACAGTGCGTCACTTGCCCCAGACTGAGAGTTCCTATCTATACCTTGTGGCTAATAGCCACTGATGGACCTCTGTTCCATATGTTTATATAAGAACATAAGAGAAGCCAATGTTGGGTCAGGCCCAGAGGTCATTTCGGGGGGGAACGTGGGGGAACGCAGTCCCCCCGGGTGAGGTGC